ATTTAGGTTTGTGACTAGAAAAGAAAAATCCATAGGACCTATCCCTATATATTTTCAAAATTAGGGGTATTCCACATTTCCCACATATATATATATATATATATATATATATATATATATTGCTTTTTTTTTTATTGTATTTATTTTGAACATGACCTTTATTAATATTTTTTTATGTTGTTATTATTATTATTTAGTTACCTTTATTTATTTTAGCGCAAATTTCAGTTTGCACCCCTAAATTATATGGTGTGTCGGAAGCACAATCCTCAATTACAAATTAAATGTACAAAATACCCCCTCACCTTTTGCATTGTGTTTAAATATGCTATGTTTTTTGTTGATTTTCTTGTTACCATCACTTATTATAGTATTGTCTTTTGTCTTTTCTCACATTTTTACCCCTCTGTTGGTCATATAGCAAGGACTCAAAGCTTAAGTGTGCCTCAATTTTACCTTTATTTTTCCTCATTTTTTATTTAAAATTAGTTCTTTGTTGCTCATTTTTCTTCTTAATTTCACGATGATGTTCAGTGACAGCTTTAGTTGTCATCAACAAGTAGTCTGAGCTCAATTTCAAATGACATTCTAAACCAAACCGGATTAGTAATCGGATACCTAATTTTCCTAATTAAACCAAGTGTCTCAAGGTAAGACACTAAACCAGGGTAAACATTTCTCAATGTAAATCAAACCCCCAACATATTCAAACTCCATCAGGTTTCCATGATAAATTTTAATCACAGAAAATTCACCTGCTATTATAACCTACAAAAATATATTCTCAAGTTAATTAAATATGAAAATAAGCTAAACAATTGCTTAACAAATCATGCAAATACTATTTGCGAGATGAATTATGTTGGAAAAAAATAAATAAAGGAGAAAGTAACTTTTCATTTCTTATTTTGGCTAAAACATTTTTAAGTACAAAGTTCAAATATAGTTCTCATAGACTAAAGTTGGGGTTGAGATTTTAGTTGCACAACAAAACATTACAAAACTAGTGTCTTTAATTTTTTTTTAAAATTTGACCAAAAAACGTAGGTATGTACTTGGTTCGTTTCGTAGTTGAGGGGTGTGTGTGAGACACATTCTATAATTCAGGGGTGTAAAGTGAACATTGCCCTTTATTTTATTATTTTATTAATATACGATCTTGCCACGCACGGGGAAAAGTAATACTTTTATAATATATGGTTGCAATTTGTATTTAACCCTAGGAAAGAAGATAAAAGTTTTAAGTTTTCAGGAAAACAATTCAAAATAAAACACTTCGGGGGATGAATTGAAGATTGTGAGAATCAACCACCGTTTATTCCTTCAAATATCAGAGACAATGACGGCAGCGATGATGGTGGCGAGGTAATCCGGAAATGAAGGGCCAATTTCAGTAAGCATAATATAATACATTCTCAATAACACAGTTTAATATACGAAAATTATCTATCTTTTTATTCATGAGATATTTTCTTGGATTCAATGCGATCTTATTTTGATGCTTGTATATATTATGTCTTATTGAGGCAGAGAGAAAGTCTATGATTATCCATGATTAAAGTATTCCGGGATAAGCAATGTTCTTCCAAAATCGAAAATATTCGAATCTGAATCGGATGAATTCAAATTATATATACAAGTATTTGTTGATGAGAGAAAGTTGAATACAGTAGTAAATAATATTTGTATAACTAACAAATATCATTTTATAATTGGTGCAAATGATCCAATCATAATATTACAAAATAAAATCCAAACTGCGGTCGTAAAAAATAAAAATAAACCAATATATCATTTTTTATAACAAGGAAAAAAAAACTACTTAAAATTTTGGTCATTGAACAAGAAAAGTAGGGTTAGCAATCGACCTATATTACGTGCATGTCGACCTAATAATTCACGTAGCCTATTACAACTCCCTTTTGATAAATTCAAATCAAATACGGAAACAAATTAATAACTAAACCACGTACGTAGCCTACCCATATGTTTATATACGTTTACACGTGTTTCCTTCGAGTATTTCCCATAAAATGTTAGGCTCTGATTGGTTCTAATAAAATGCAAAGTAAAAAGATGAAATGTCTAAGTAATCCATTTTTCTTGTTTGATTAAAATATAAATTAGTGAGTAAAGTAAAATTGAGAAAAATGGGAAAACTTTTTTAACTAAAAACGAGGAAAATACATTTTCGTAAAAAATAGTGAGGAAAACTGGGAAAAGCAATTAGTCCTTTCTTCTCCAACTGTGTGTTCAATTCCTGACTCTCCTTTACCACCTCCATTCCGAACGCTAACAACCGCCGCCTCCACCACCTCTCCGGCACAGCCGGCAACCACCGCCGACAATCTCTTCGGCGCCGCCAGAACCATCCCAGCCATTGCCACTGGTCAATTCACCGGTGAAAGTAAACAAGACGGTAATAAGCGTATCCTTTCCCTAACCACCATCCCCGCACCACTTCACCTTCCACCCTCACTACGCCGTCGCTTCCCCTCACACCTTCAGTCCCTTGATCGACGGCGACAAAGTCAGCAACTGCATCAATCCGCTGCCGCCACCGCGTTTCTCTCCCCATTCATGCATCTCTTTCTTCTTCCATAACCATATCAATTTCGTTTTTGTTGGCGAGTGAGTGAGTTGGTGGGTGTTAAATAATTTTGTTTGTTTATTTATTTATTTATTTATTTTTATAATTTTTTTATCGTACAAAATTAATTTTGGTTTATCAAACAAATGAAAAAGAAGAGAACATAATTTTGGTTGAATTTTTTTACAGAAAAAAAGGGTTCAGTTATTTAATATGTAATATTTTAGTGTTTACTTCAAATTGCCAAAATAAAAATTAAAGAAAAGTTATTTTTCTCAAATAATTTCATTACCTTTTTTTCTTAGGAACCAAACACAATTAGAATTTCCAAAGTCCCTGATTTCCTTTCTCAACTTTATTAATACTGCAAGTAGGTGCAAATTGTAATAAATTTGCCTTGATTCTGCCCTTCAATTTTATTTAAGAATTAGGGGGAATGGCAAATAGGCTCATGACAAGGGCATTTAATTAAAAGGGGGACATCCAACTTTTTTGTTTTTCAAATAAATACAGTCCATTCAAACTTATTTGCAAATAAGGAAAATCTTTTTATATATACCAAAATTACCCCCAATTCATTGAAATCCAATTCAACTCCAATTTCATGATTTACACCCAATTTAGCCCAATTTCATCAATTAACCAATTTTAACCCTAATTTCAATTTTGACCCCAATTTTGACCTCAATTTTGACCCCAATTTTAACCCTAATTCTTATCAATTCCACCCATTATGCTCTAACTTCCTTAATATTACACATTGACCCCGGATTTAAACAAATATATCACATTAACCCCCCGGCGTTGACCTTTTTTTTTCTTCCAGATTTTTTCGCTGATTTCCGGCATTGGGTTTTTCGAAAAAAAAAATCTCCGTCAACAACTTAAACAAAACAAGAAATAAAAAAAATATTGATGTGGCCGACAATAATTATTGCAATTCCGCAAATAAATTTATTCTCATGTTTTTTGTCTAAATATCCCTTATAACATAATTTTTATCAATTCAATCCATTCTAGTTTAACTTCATCAATATTACACATTGACCTCGGATTTGAACAAATATATCACATTAACCCCATTTTCATAATTGTTTGAAAAAAGAATTTTTTTTAGAATATTTTTTTTCAGAATATTTTTTCCGGCTAGATTCCGGTGTTAGAATTTTGTTTTTGAAAACTTTTTCCCGGCCGGTCAGCCGCTGGTTTCTGGCGTTGACTTTTTTTTATCCTTCCTTTTTTTTGAAACTTTTTTTAACTACATAAATAATATTGAATGCCAAAATAGTAATATTATTTATGGTTATCTGCACTTTGCCCCCCATACTTTGCCTGATTTAGCGATTTGCCCCCATACAAAAAAAATTGCACGACCATTCATACTTGGACTTATTAATTTGTTGCACTGATGGCTAAAATGTATACTTTTGGCCAAAAAGCTCCCGGAATTGCACACGTGCGATACACGCATGAGACACACGTGCGATACATGCATGAGAATTAAGGGGCAGTTTCACCGACCCACAGTGTTTTTAGTATGAAAAAAAAACAGAAAAACAAAAAACGTTTTCACAAATTATGAGACGATTTCAATTCTACAAAACACGTGTCATTTGATCTTGCGCTTCTTTTTTTAAGAAACCACAACTTGGCAGCTTGTTATTGACTTTGTTTCGTTTGTTTATCAAAGTTGTGCAAGAAGAAAAGGTTAGACTCAGGTGTCATGGACCATCATTTTCCTTCTTCTTTCCCCTGTTAATAGTGCATTTCATTTTCTTTATTTAATTTGTTGTTTTTAGTAGCTAGCTCAAAATAGTTAAATTTACTTAATTAAAAAAAAAACATTTTTTCTTTACAAGTTTTACTATATATGCTTATTTTATTTTTATTTTCAACAAATAACTAGTAAAAGTTTTAATTAATTAATGGTTGCAAATCTCTTTTATTTAATCTTTTATATTTGAAAATGAAAAACTAATAAACAGTTTTACTTAATATTATAATTTGTGTTTATTTATGTGTTCAATAATAAATTTAAATTGATCAAAGAAAATCATAATCAAGACAATAACAAGAATATCTATATTTTAATAATATTTTTGGCGATGCACCTTAATTACCAACAACTCCTTCATTCTCATATGGCAAAGGATAATATGGAAATTTTTATTTTTGTGTTTATTTATGTGTCGAATAAGAAATTTCTTCAAAAAAAAAACATTTAAGTAAATTTCTTAATAAATAAATAAATAAACATTTTATATTAGTTTAAGTAATTAGTAATTAGTAATTGAAAAGAAAATAATTAAAGAGAAAATAAAAAAAGAGTGATTATATATATATGTATATATATATATATATATATATATATCATGAATTAATTATAACAGTAAATAATGAATTATGCATAAACAGATCATCTGTAGTCAAATTAGAAACCAAGTTGATTATTAAATTGCAGTTAATTATTGAGAGACAGATTGAGGTAGTTTATTAATGAGTCTAATACACTAGAGTTCATCCTTTTGTGGGGAAATAATCTTGAAAGGATAGTACACTCTGGCTGCAATCCCACAAACTCCCGGTGTGTGTTTGTCGTTAACATTACTCCGACGCAGCATCTTAATATAGCCATCTTCTCCCCAGTTAGACCCCCATGAGTTTTTCACGAGCCAATACTTAGTTCCGTCCACGTGTGTTCCGTAGCCAACAATAGTAACAATGTGATCGAACTCTGTCCCGCAATTCCCGGTGAACACCCCCTGCATGTAATAAATAATAAATAGTAAATAATAAACAAAAACAGGGGAAAAAAACATATTAATTATTATTATTTTTTTTAATTAAACTTTTAATTATAACTTACGTTTGAGTAATGGCGAAAGTCGAAACAACTTGAATCAATCTCAGCTGTTACCGGCTGCTTAGCGACTACCTTCATCATTAAATCTTCGCGGTTAGGATGAACTCTATAGTAGCCATCTATCCATGCCGCGGGCGAGTTTTTCTGCAATAAAATATATATAATCGAAGAAAAAGTTCAAATTAAATACAAATAAACTTATTAGACGTGCATTAAATATATATATATATTATTTGTACGTGTACGTGTACGTATGCATACGTATACCTTGTTGAAGTTACATTTTTGCTTGTCATCATCTCTATAAGGATAACTCTTGTCCGTTGCGATCCCGTTTTCCTTGATGAACCTAAAAGCTTTCCATGCATATCCTCCTTCGCATTGCAAGTTTCCGGTGTCGCAGTCAACCAATTCTTGCGCAGATAAGGACATCAATTTATTTGTCCTTATATATGTTATGCCTTCAACTGCGGCCACAGTTGCAAAGGCCCAGCAGCTACCTGGAGGAAGGAATTACACGAGTTATACAAAAAAAAAAAAATACAGAAAAAAAGAAGATGAATTAATCTTAATTAAATTTATTCGATGTTGAATCACGTACGGAAACAGATTATAAATTATATATATATTAATATGTCTACTAATTATTAATTTAGAAAAGTTACCGCATTTATGATTATGCTTCACGCTGGTGACTGCCCCATTTTTCCTCCAGTCAACCTCGTTTGGAAGTGAAACATCGGTTGCTGCTTCCGCGTGATCATAGCCGATGCTCGTGTCTTCAACCTCGTCGTCTGGACCTAAGAAAGGCACTCTCTCCAACTTGAAGAAAAATTCAAGTCCCTCAAGAAAGGCACTCTCTCCATTCACGATTATTGCCAAATAATCAAAACCACGGCGGACAACTTGGCCGATGTCGGAAATCCAATCTCCGACAAACAACTCGTCCTGCAAACACTACACGGCCTTCCGAAAAATTACGGGACCGTCGCCAACCTCATCTCCTTTCAGAATCCCCTCCCCAGCTTTCTACAGACTCGATCGCTTCTTCAGATGGAAGAAACAAGAATTGTTGAACCATAGCAGACCGCTACGGTTTTCTACGCCTCCAACGCAAACTGTTCATCCAACAGTTGCAACGGTTCATGCAACAGTTCCCGCGGAAGTAGTTCTTCACGCTATCAGCGCGGGGGTGGCTGATCCAATCGTCGCGGAGGTAGCACACCGTCACCCCATGCAGCACAACGGCTACCATAGAGCCCATGGCACATCTCAACTCTGGCGCGCACCTTACCGACAACCGTCAGTTCTGGGATCCGCTCCAAATACATCGGGCCACCCATCCACTTCAGCGGCTCAAGCCTACTTTACTGGACCACCTGAACCCTACAACGGCCACTCGGCTCCTACTCAGGTTCATCCGCAGCAGCAACCATGCCACAACTCTAACAGTTCCTTCAACAGTTGCAACAGTTCCTGCAACAGTGCCAACGTCGTGGATCTCGCAAACCGTTTGAATACGGTGACACTTCAGCAGCCTACCGAGTCACAATGGTTCATGGACAGCGGGGCGACCTCTCATATGGCACCACACTTAGGTAATTTCAATTTTGTTTTTAATCCTGGCAGTAATTTCCCCAAACATGTCGTCGTCGGTAATGGTTCCACCCTCCCCATAACCCACATAGGCCACACAATTCTTCCCACCACTCCTTTCCGCCTCACAAATGTCTATGTCACACCCAATATTGTCAAACACCTTATCTCTGTTCGAAAGTTCACCTGCGATAACTCATGTTCGGTTGAATTTGACCCGTTTGGTTTTTCTGTGAAGGATCTTCGGAGTCGAGTCGAGATTTTCAGGTGCAATAGCTCCGGTGACCTATATCCATTTGGCGTCCCTCCCCCCACCTCACCTTCCGTTGCTTTCCTCATTGTCGCAACACCTTCGTCTCGCACTCTTTGGCATCAGCGTCCAGGCCATCCCGGCAAACATGTCATGTCCCGTTTATTTTCTAGCACTTTTCTTTCCCATAATAAAGACCATATAGAGTCTCTTTGTAATGCCTGTCAATTAGGCAAACATTTTCGTCTACCATTTTTTTCTCAAAAATCTACTATTGTTGCTCCATTTCAAATTATTCATGCTGATTTATGGACTTCTCCTATCTCTAGTCTTACGGGTTTCAAATATTATCTTGTCTTAGTTGATGATTTTACCCATTATTGATGGACTTTTCCTCTTCGAAATAAATTTGACGTTTTTACAACCTTTGTCAATTTTCATACACTTCTCAAAACTAAATTCCAACATCCCCTGAAAGCCTTACAAAGTGATAATGGTCGTGAATTCAAAAATGCGGATTTTCAAAACTACTTCACTAAATACGGCATCCTAAATCGTTTTTCGTGTCCCCACACATCCCCTCAAAACGGACACGCAGAACGAATGATCCGCACCATAACCAACATGATTAGATCCCTCATCTTTCAAGCTCATCTTCCTCCTACTTATTGGGTCGAAGCTCTTCATATGGCCACCCACCTACTCAATATCTTACCTACCAAAACCACACAAAACCGGACCCCTCACGAAGCTCTTTATCAAATCAAACCTACATACTCTCATCTTCGAGTATTTGGCTGTCTCTGCTATTCCAACCTCACCGCCACCACACCACATAAACTCGCCCCCCGTTCTACTCCTTGTGTCTATCTCGGTCACCCTTCCTCTCACAAAGGCTATCATTGCCTTGATAGATCCACTGGCCGTATCATAATTTCTCGTCATTTTACCTTCGACGAAACACACTTTCCCTTTGCTGAGTCCACTCCCCCCACAAACACACTGCTTTAATTAAAACAATACTTGGAATGTTGTGCCCCGCCCCCCGTTCACTAATTTTATTTCTGGTAAGTCGATATACAAACAGAAACTCAAGTCTGATGGCTCCCTTGAGCGATACAAAGCACGGTGGGTTGTTCGTGGGTTTCACCAGCAGGCTAGCATCGATTTTGACGAGACTTTTAGCCCAGTTGTCAAACCAGCAACTGTTCGAACAGTTCTCAGTATTGCTCTCTCCCGATCCTGGCCAATCCACCAGCTTGATGTAAAAAATGCCTTCTTACATGGCAATCACTCTGAAACTGTCTACTGCGAGCAACCTCCCGGATTCGTCGACCCATCTCGCCCCACTCACGTGTGTCGTCTCAACAAAGCACTCTACGGTCTCAAGCAGGCACCACGTGCTTGGTACAAGCATTTTGAATCTCACATTACTACCATGGGGTTCAGAGAATGCAAGTCCGACACTTCACTCTTTGTGTACTGTCGCAACAGTTCACGCGACTGTCGCAACAGTTCATGCGCCTACCTTCTGCTGTATGTCGATGACATTGTACTTACGGCCTCCACATCTGAATTGCTCCGCTCTATCATCGCTACCCTTAATCAAGAGTTCACAATGAAGGACCTTGGCGATCTTTACTTCTTTCTTGGCATCTCAGTTACTCGCTCGTCGAATGGGCTATTTCTCTCTCAACGCAAGTACGCCGACGAGATACTAGAGCGTGCACACATGGATTCCTGCAACCCTTGTCTTACGCCGGCTGACACAAAGAGCAAGTTGTCTTCGACCACTGGACCCCCCTGTGGCTGACCCTACTCTTTATCGCAGCCTTGCCGGTGCACTGCAATAGCTCACGTTTACTCGTCCCGACATCTTCTATGCTGTGCAACAAGTATGTCTATTCATGTATGATCCGAGGGAACCTCATATGGCAGCTCTTAAGCGTATCCTTCGCTATATTCGTGGCACTCTCGATCACGGCCTTCAGCTCTCCCCCAATCCGGACCTCTCCCTTATCGCTTACTCCAACGCCGATTGGGGTGGCTGCCCCGACACTCGTCGTTCGACATCGGGCTATTGTGTTTTCCTCGCCAACAACCTCATTTCTTGGTCCTCCAAACGACAGGTCACTACTTCTCGATCGAGTACGGAAGTCGAATATCCGGCTGTCGCAAATGCCGTCGCCGAAACGACTTGGTTATGCAACCTACTCTCTGAGTTGCTCTGCCCACTTTCGAAAGCCACTATTGTGTACTGTGACAACGTCAGTGCCGTCTACCTATCCAGCAATCCTATTCAACACTCTCGTACGAAACATGTAGAGATCGATATCCACTTTGTCCGAGACAAAGTTGCTTTGGGACACGTTCGAGTTCTTCACGTCCCATCCGCCTGCCAGTTTGCCGATATCTTCACGAAAGGACTCCCTACTCAATTGTTCCAACAGTTTGTCTTCAGTCTCCACGTCCTCTCCTTTCCCGTTTCGACTGCGGGGGTGTATTAGCGTATATATTATATATATTACGTATACTATTATTATTCTTATTTATTATAGTTACCTTGTATAATAGGTTACCTTGTGTAATAGGTTAGGGTTTCCTACATGTAACTATATATACAATTAATATACGTAAGAGAATTTATTCTCTTTTTTCTCCAAAACCTATTTCTCCTATACATAGCTATTTCATTGTCAACCAACAAATCCCAAGTAGCTCATAAAATCATCGTCCCATATGCTAATAATCCTCAAAAGTCGGCGAAAATTGCACATCTTCGCTCTCGTTTGAAGAGCACCCGCCGCCACCGGTACAAGAATTGGAGGAAGATGAAGATTATGAGGGGTCGGGGTTGATGAATTTTCATCGGGGGAGCATAATTTATGGGGATCAATCACATGAATTTCGTCCATGTAGTCAGTGCTGGAATCAAATGGGCTCTCAATTTTGTGTTCCGCTGACTCGCTAACAATGGTTGAGTGGGCTCCACCTTATCCTCCATTATATTTGGTTCCACCGCTGCTTCCGGTGGTGGTTCGTCGGCGTTGGTGGGTGGTGGCAGAGGCTTATGGATAAGAGGATCGATTCCCAATTTCTTTAGCTTCTTCTTCACGAGGAGGAATCTTCTTCTTTCCAATGACACCTGTCAAATTTGAGGTGAATTTGGAGGCTTTGTTCTATGCACATGTCGAGCGAGAGAGAGTGTGTGTTGAGAGCAGTATAGATTTTCCCTTTCTTTTAATAATTTATTTGTATTTAATAAAAAACAATTTTGTATTTTGATTGTTTAATAATTTAATAATTTAAATATTATTGAATACTTAGTAAGGAACAACCAAAATATTTATAACATTTAATAATAAATATAAGAATTTTAAGAATTATTTATATTTAAAATATATATGCAAGGGTAAAAGCGTCCGAAAAAGTGGAACAATAAAAAAATCAGATATAAATGAGAAAGTCAACATGCCACATTATCATCCACTAACAGATTCGAAATGGAAAGGCCATTTGGTTACGTTTTGTTGTTCAGAGGGGTGTTTGTGACAGACCCCATAGTTTAAGGGTACAAACTGTAGTTTCCCCTTATTGTTTTATTAATAAAAGACATTTTGGATTTATCTTGAAACTGCGAAATAAATTTGAGCTTATTGTAATTGCACATATCTGATGGGTTTTTTTTGCCAAATAATTCCTTATTATTTAAACCATCTATCCAAATAACTTTGATAGTTTTCTAAATGATTCAAGCTCCAAACCACCCTTTATCTTCCACGGTCTATCTGAAACCGCTACTTCATACTTTTCGGGATATGCAGCAGGTTTATGTTTAGCTAAGATCAATAGATGGTAGAAAGAGCCTGCAACCATATGTTTTTTTCCCTTGATTATAGTTACAAACTGTAAGGTTGTATTAGCCTTGTTATTGTATTCTTTCACTGCAAAATTTGCGGCAGACACCACACTTGGATCTTCCAGGTCCTTGATCGGCCACATACCATCAGGTTTATAACCTGTTTCATTTTGAATAATAATAATAAAAATCAAGAAATATAAGGATAAAAACGAGTGTGATATAGGTATTATTTTTGTTGGGTGAATATTTTGTATGCCCCTTCATTATATATAATGATGTCAAAATTCGAAACTTGTAATTATTTAATTTAAATTAGTAAAATATTATAGATAACTTAAATGAATATTTATTATTTTTTAGCTAAAGAATATGAAATCTTGGTGCACATGCGGCACTAGCAGAGTCAGGAATTTCAATAAATTTGGAAGGGGTGCACTCTTGGGCAATAACCTGTACTAATTCTATAATCTTATTTATTAATTACAGAATAAAAATATATAAATAAAACTAAGATTTTTTGCTCTACAACCCTAATATTATCAATGCTATTGAGATTTCAGGGAAAAAAGTTTAATCCTCTAACCAACTATAAAGAAATGCAACACATATCCAAATTACCAAAAGCCATAAAATTTTATATTTAATTTCATTCTATAAACTAGCACATCGTAGTACAAATGTATGTATGTACATAAAATTTAATATTCATAAGATATTTTTAATTATCATAAATTCTAAATCGGCCGTACCTTCAAATATGCTGAAGCCATCGAGTTTCATAGAATTATTTTTCTGTCGCGGTTTGTACAAAACAGATGATGAATATTTTTTGAGATTGATGGCCTTGTTATCTATAGCTGAGAAATCTATATAGACTTGATAGTTGTGTTTTTCGCTATACACTGAATAATCTCCATTGAAAACAGACACAAAGCGCAATATTTTATTAGCTTTCTTATTATGCTCTGCGACTGCAAATTTTGCGATAGATACAACTTTCGGATCTTTTAGGTCCCATATCGGCGACACACTGTTAATAGGACAACCAAAATCAAGAGGAATGTGAGTAAGATTGAGCATGAGGTAGGTGCCATGTTGATGGTGAATTCATGTGATAGAGTCATTCTCTATGTATAGTGGTGTCAAAAATTGAAATGAATGGCTATCGAAGAAAAAAAAAAGAGTTTATAGATAGCGATAACTTAAATTGATAGTTATCATGTAGTCAAAAGTTTTGGGATTTTGGATGCACAAGTGTCATGTACAAACTACATGTACCACTCACAGTTTAAAACAAAATTAAAACTAGAAAATTAAGTTTAATTATAAGGTTAATAGCATTTTGCATCCTTAGGAAAAGAAATAGCATTTTGTCAATTATACTAGCATTTTGCCAATTATATTTTGCGCTTTTTTTCACTCTGCCACCTTAACAAAATAAAATTGTGCGGCCACACCTGAACCCGTTATTTTGACTCATATTGTTCAAAGGTTTGTAAAAAACTAAAAGACCTCATCATATTTTAACATTTTAATATACTCCAATTTCATTCTTTAATTTAATTTAATTTCAATTTGACTCCAAATTTCACAAATTATTCAATTTTGACCGAAAACTCAATTTTGAGTATAAATTCACCCATCGCTGACGTTGACTTTTTTTTTCTTTAACATATTTTTGCCCCGTTTATTGATGTGGTTGACAATCATATTAACTATATTACTGCTAAACACCGTAATATTAACTATACTACTGTTTAACACAATAATATTGCTATATTAGTCTCTAGCACGGTAATATTAACACAACAAAAATCATTATTATTGTGTAACAGAGTAATATTAATATGTTGACCCTTAAACAAATGCAAACATAATAAAAAGGCAAAAGAATTAATATTGATGTGGTTGACAGTAATATTATAGTTATCCACAATAATATTACTATCATCCACAGTAATATTACTGTAACAACAGTAATATTACCGTCAACCACAATAATATTATTGTGTTTACAATAATATTATAATAGTAGATAGTAATATTATTACGTTAATTGGTCAACAACACAAACAAAACAAAAAAGTAAAAATACAAAAAAGTATTGATGTGATTGACAGTAATATTATTGTGTTTACAGTAATTTTTCCGTCAACGACAGAATATAATTACGTTGACTTGTCAACATAAAAAAATAAAAATAAAAAAAACCAAAATAATAATAATATTGTCGTTGACAGTACAATTACTGTCAGCAACAATATAATTACTGTTAATGACAGTACATTACGTCAACGTTCAGTGACTGACATAAATAAAATGATGAAAATTTTAGGGAAAATGAAATACTACAAAAAGTCAATACCAGAAACCAGCGGCGGAGAAAGCAGACATAAAAAAAAATATTGGATCAATTTTATTTAACAATCATATTAAATAATCATTTCGTCAAAAAAAATCTAGCAATAAAATATTAATATAACCTACTTATTTTTTCAAATTGGAACGGAAAATCCAATTTCCGCTTGTGATGCGAAAAGTTTCGATCTTGGACCAACCTTTTTCATTTCGACTTTCAAAATTTCGATTTTTCCGATTTTTTGGATTCGAATTGTAATTATATAAAAAAATGGGAATTTTCGATCCTATTTAAGTTCCGAAATTAATTCCGAAAATTCCTATTGTTTCCGACAAATACACCGATACATAATGTCTTATAAAATACTTATTTTAAGTTTTATTTTTTTTTCTTATACAGTGATTTGATTTAAGTTTTGTTTAAGGATTTTGACATATTGAATTATTGTTAGAAGTTTTATTACATATTATGATATGGTTTATTTTTACTTAGTTTTTTGAACAAAAATTTAGTAGTTATTAGTTTAACTTTTATCAACGTGAATATTCTTATTTTTGGAAAAGGCGGCGGATATATGCAAGCCCATTTTTTTATTAGTTCAAGACCTCCAACATAAAAATACTAATTTACCCTTAATGAAATACAAAACCAAATAAAAGACATAAATCATAAAAAATAAAAAATAAATAAAAATCGGCGTTACAACGCCGATTTTGACTTGTAAAGTCGGTGTTGTGTCGTCGATTTGGTTAACAAAAATCGGCATTGTGAAACCAATTTTCGTGTACAAAATCGGTTTGGATAAACCGATTTTGGAAACTAACGAAAGCACACAAAAAATCAATTTTAATCTCAATTTTTTTTTCTCCAAAATCGACTAAAGCATTGCAACCCAACAAGAAGTAAGCATAGATTAATGTTCATCCACGCATATTTATCAAGAATCGATGCTCGATTAATGTTTTTGAATTGACAAACACAAGTTTAGTAAAAAGGACTTGTTGGTGGTGGTGGGGTGGTGGTGATTGTGCGGTGGAGGTGGTGGGGTGGTAGTGATGGTGCGGGGAGGTGGTGCGGTGGGTGGGTCGCTGGTCGTCGTCGGCGCTAGGGGTGGGAATTCGGGTCGGGTTATTCGGGTATAACCCGACCCGGTCGGGTATTACCCGACCGGCTCGGGTAATTTTTTACATAGCCGGGTTTTTCCCGGGTTCGGGTACCAGATGAACTCAAACACGGAGGGGTGTGTGTGTGAAAATATATATATGTGTATGCGTATAAAAAGAGATATATATTTTTTTATATATATATATATATATATATATATATATATATATATATATATATATATATATATATATATATATATATATATATATATATATATATATATATATATATATTTGTATGTATATATATGTATATGTCTGTGTGTGTGTATATATATATATATATATCAGTTATATATATATATATATATATATATATATATATATATATATATATATGTAATACATACTATATATATATATGTCTATATTTGTATGTATATATATATATATATCAGTATATGTATATGTATATATATATATATATAAATATATATATGTATATTGCTATATATATATGTATACCTTCAAAAAAAAAAAAAAAAAAAAAAAAAAAAAGAGGAAAATAGCAAAATCCGAACCCGACCCGAACCTGACCCGAAATAACCGGGTACCCGGTTATCTCGGGTCGGGTTCGGGTAATTTTTTTTTTGCAAAAAACCCGAATAACCCGACCCGAATAACCCGAATAACCCGACCCGACCCGAATGCCCACCCCTAGTCGGCGCGGTGGAAGTCTCGCTGGTCGGTGTCTCGGCGATCTGGTGGCGGCAGTTGTGAGTTTTTTTCTATTTTCTATTTTCTATTTTTGTTTTTTTTACTCTTTTTTTTTTGTTCTTGAACAAATTAAAATTAGAGTTTGTTTGTATTTGACTATTATTTATTGATAACAGTATATTCGTCATGTTTGGTCTTGATGTAATAAAATTAAATTAATTTACAGGCTTGAACTAATAAACTCCTTTATATGGGTTTGAACTAATAAAAAAATGTGTTTGCATATATCGCCGCCTTTGGAAAATTATAAAATTTTCAGAAAAATTTCCCCTAAGTCTTGAAATTTTGAAACTTATGTGGTTTCCAAATTTTTTTTTTTCGAAATTCTGAAATGTCTTAGCCTTTTGGAATTGGAATGAGTTTTTAGATTCCAATAATTTTGAAATTGGAATATAAATTGATTTTGGAGTTCCAAAATTTTTTAGAAATTTTCTAAAAAATCTAATTTTAATCCAGTCCATCTAATTTTGACCCCTATTAAATATTAGAATAAGTATTACACTTTTTTTATTTTAAAAAGGATGTATGAAACTGAAATACGAATTTAATAAAGGAATCAAGGATAAATTATGGGTATCAATTTAAAAGAGCTAATTGCATAGAACCCCAGTGAAATCTTGAATGGCTAAGACTTCTCATGTTAAAAATATTAGCATAGACCCCTGTGTATTATTTTTCACAAAGCACACTGCCCCTCATTTCGAAATTAGCAGTGGACTTATATGAAATGACTAAACTAACCTCATATTTTTTAGGGTAAATTACAACCACCCCTGAGGTATGGTCAATTTACGAAAAAATCCATCTTGTTTGGATAATTACATCTACCTCTCAATTATGATTTTTTCTTGGGTTTTTTGCAAAAACCACCCCTGTGTAATCTCGAATTGCTGAAAAACCCCTCGTGTTAAAAATATTAGCACAAAACCCCTTGTGAAAAATAGTCAAAGCCAAAAAAGACCCTACGAGCTCGATGTGTTATACACTCGCGCTTTGTGCGACTGGGCCTCGTGTTTAGGAACTAGAAAGACCTAAATACCCTTTAAATCAATTTTTGAAATTTATAAATTTACCCAAAATATTTTCATAAGCTTAAAACGAAGTTTTTCAGAATTTTCAATTCAATCCCCACTAATTTCAGAAAAGCCCTCTCTCCAAATTGCATAGAACCAAATTGCAATTTTCATAATTTCTCAAAACTTCATCATCTTCTTCCCCTCTCCTTCAGATCTGCTGCACGCCAAATAAAAAAAAAAAAAAGAAAAAAAAAAAAACCAACAAAAACCACCGATTCATCTTCATAACCTGCCATTTGCAAAAGAAGAAAAAACAACAAAAGTTGCTTCCTCCATCAAAACCCGCCGGAAGAAAAAAGCACTTCAAGCACAAAAAACACAGCCCCAGTGCAATACACACACACACACAAAACGTAACTCGATCCAACATCTTGATTTACAAGAGATACGAAAGACCCATCAAACATAAAGCATATTTTCTTTTGGGGTGGGAAGGCAGGTGGGGATGCGGCGGCGGTGGTGCGGCCGTGGTGTTGGTGATGCGGCGGTGGTGCGGACGTGGTCTGATGCGGCGATGGTGCGGCCGTGGTGGTGGTGATGCGGCGGCGGAGGGCTCGATGGAAGAATTGGGTTGCGGCAGTGGTGCGGACGTGGTGGTGGTGATGCGGCCGTGGTGGTGGTGATGCAGCGGAGGGCTTATGGAATAATTGGTTGGGGGATGAAGACGATGGGCTGGGTGAATTTTCTTTTTTTTTTTTTTTTTCTTTTTGTATTTTATTTATTTAATTGAAATATAAACTATTAAAAAAGATGAGGGTTACTTTAGTCATTTCATAAAAGTCAACTGCTAATTTCGAAATAAGGGCCAGTGTGCTTTGTCAAAAATAATATAGGGGGTATATGCTAATATTTTTAACATAAGGGGTTTTTTAATAAGTCAAGATTTCACAGGGGGGTCTATGCAATTAGCTCATTTATGCTTATACCTCCACCCTTATGGAATCAAATTCAACAAAATCATCTAGATTTTGTTGAATGTGTTCGAGTTTGTTCTCGTTTTGTGTAAAAAAACAGTTTTTGATGCACACTATCTGTATATACAAGCTAAAAAACACATATTACGATATTGCTACAAAATGTGGAGTTCGAATGAGATAAAACCGATAAAAAAATTGATAATATTTCAAGGGTTGTTGTAATTACCTATTTTTTATTAATTTATGTTTCCATTAAATAAATAAAATGCAAAAAAAAAAAAAAAAAAAAAATTATCACCCACGACCATCACCTTCCTCCCCCAACCCAATTCTTC